TTGGTAAATCTAAACCATTTTGTGTTGTTCTGGGAATGTATAAGTAGTTTTGTATATTTGTCATGGCAAATGATGTTAAAGGGACAATTTAGTGAAGTAAGTGTTTTTTGTTACCTTGTAACAAAACTCTTCATGATAATATAGTTGCATACTCCCTATGAATAATTTATGTCGAGAAATTGACAAGGGACAAGGGCCTTTTTAAACCGTAATGGACAAACCCTTAACTGTAAAGCCGAACGTTTTAGCGGCAGATGTCGGTAAAGTGCCAGTCGAGGAGGGAAGGTAACTTCTCGCTTTATTTACCTAGCCTCTCTAGAATACAAGTAAACGCATTTATTCTGAATCAAAAATCATCATCTAACATCATCTTAATCTCAAACATCGTTATAAATGATCGAGTGATCTATTGATATTGTACTTTCTGCGGTTTGAATAAATATTCCTGTGGCACCCTCTCATTGCGTGCATGCTCTCAATGAACCTGTTTGTTCTTATTCAAATCCAAATGTAAACAGAAATATCTGATTAGAGGTATATATTATGATATTTATAATTCTTAAATATGTATTGTGTAAATTCAAGAATGCGTTATGTGTTAACTCAGACTCGTAACTGACACATTGTTGTCGGTCGACAGCGTAGTGCTGTACATGTTTACTTCTCACTGAAAGGCCCGGATATTGCGCTATTTTGGTCGTAGCTAATTTTATCAGCAGCTTTCCGAAAAGATTAAACTGACCACATTGGACATCAGATTCAGGTCGGGTCATTATCAACTACGTTAACTTTCGTTAGAATATATATATTTTCAGTTCCGACTTGATTTTCAGGTAATCAAAAAAACTTACTTCACTAAATTGTCCCTTTAAGAACCCAAGTTCCTGTCAATAAAACAAAAACAAATAGGATTGGATGAATGTTATGATATTTCCCAGAATAATATTTTTGATTATATTACTAGTAAAACTCTGAACATGTTCGTGCCATGTGTATGGTGTATCCACAGAACCTGTTTAACATATTATTGGACACTCGTGTATATCTGCCTTTCTTCTGTATCTGGTATGGTTTCATCATTCTAAACCCCTGTTTGATAACACCAACTTTCTAAAGCAACTGAACATTCTGGAAACTGTAGTAACGCCACCACACAACAACAACATTCCCAAGAGCATATTGACGGCACACACTTAAATAAACAACCTACACGAGAGAGTAGTGACGGTCCTAAACGTAAACAATATATCCAAAAGCGTAGTGACGGCACCAAAAATAAACAACCAAACATCACGGTACCAAACATAAACAGCCTAGGCACACGAGAGCGTAGTGACGGCACCAAATATAAACAGCTTACACGAGAGCGTAGTGATGACAACAAACATAAACAGCCTACCTGAGAGTGTAGTGACGGCAAAAAACATAAACAGCTTAAACAAGACCTTAGTGACGGCACCAAATGTAAACAGCCTACCTGAGAGCGTAGTGACAGTAACAAACATAAACAGCCTACCCGAGATTGTAGTGACGGCACCAAATATAAACAGCCTACCTGAGAGCGTAGTGGCAGTAACAAACATAAACAACCTACCCGAGAGTGTAGTGACGGCACCAAACATAAACACCCTACACATTTTCATCTAACAAAGGGCTAACCACCATCACATGTGGTTCTTACAGCCGGCATATATGAGATTCACAACCATCAAATGTTTGACATACAACCACTGATATGTGACTTTTAACCATCATATGCGGAACTTTCAACCTTCAATCAGGGCTCAACATGGCATGTTTTAGAGTAAATAGTCATTGATCAAGTATATTTTGACAAAAAAATGTGTATATACTTGTCCGTTTAACTAGTTTTATTTCAAAGGCAGGCGTGAATGAATTGTGTACTCCTGTGGATTCTTTGTTTAATATGTATTGAAAACAATGTTTGGATAAAAGGTGAACAATTAGTTAATCTTAAAACTTTAAATTTAGATGCAATATGGGATGGAGCCTTATTGCAACATAAGTGTGCTTTTTTATTAGTTTACGTATTTGCTGCTCAACGGCCTGTCACACACTGCCGATGTACATCGCCGGGACTAAACCTAAGCAAAAGAATAACAAAGGCGAGAAAATCGGCAGAGCTCCGGCGAGAAAGTACTTGAAAAAATAAAATGTACCGTAACAATACCGATGTAGTACCGGCGATTCCGTTGTGATACCGTTGTTATACCTATGCAAAAGCCGATATGCTACCAACTACCACCTTTCTGTCACCTCAGTATGACCGATGAACCATGGATGTTTTACCGAGGTGCCGCCGTTGTTCTAACGATGTGCAAACGTTGACCGGGGCTAAAGGGGAGTGATACCGTTGCGCTGCCGATGTTACGGTAGTACATCGTAAAACATCGGCGGCGCATAAGTACTACTTCGGTGGTATTAGGTGGTACTATGGTATCACATCGGTACCAGAACGGTACACATTGAGGCCACCGGAGAGCCGTCGATCAATTACGGGACGCTACCGGTGCTCTTCCGACATAAACAAAGCCATACCGGTATTGACGATGTACTGCCGTGGTAGTCCAGTTGCTCGCTCCGGCAGCGCAACGCCGGCATTTTTTAAGTATGATTAAAAATGTCTACTGTCGGCTGCCGTACTTAAACATTTCGCCGATGTTCTGACGGGGTCCTGACGATGTGCTACCGTTCTTAGCGATGTGTTACCTTTGCGCTGCCGTACTCGTACCGATCCCCACAAATCGCCAAATTGTGCTACGGTATAGCTCCGACGATCATATTCGGTTAGGTGTGACAGGCCCTTAAGGGTCGAGGTATATCTTAATAGAATGAAACATAAGGAAATCTAAGATCCATTTAGCTAATTTGTGTTGTTGAAATCATACCTTTATGTACAACGTTTTCATCAGTGTTTTACATATGTGATACGGAGCAGAGTTATGGTTTTTCCCATTAGATTTATTTGATATACTTCAAAACAAAGTGGAACATGTGGATATTTCCAGGAGTGCAGAGAATGAAATATCAATATGATTCTGTCATGCTTCGGACCATATAATTCATATAATGTATATATAGCATCTAACAGAAACATCCAAAATGTTCTTTTGATAATTTAAATGTTACCAAAGCGAAATAATCTAATAACATCATACTAGCTAGACAACTGACAAATGTGCATGCTAGTTTTCAATAATTCTACATTTTAATGCTATACCATGGTATGATTTATTTACAAAAATGTAAAGATTTTGCAATTAGGTAAATATCTTTGTGTAAATAAAGTACAGCAAACAAACTATATTCGTATATAGTTGTATTTCTGATACAGAAAGTTCTTCTCTCTGTCCACAGTCGCACCCCGAATCACGGAATTGAGGTATCGGCACGGTGTTGGAAACCAGTACATGCAAATTGGCAGTAATGCAGTCAGTTACACAGAAGGCTCTAGCTTGGAACTCCGTGTTGATGTTGACAGCAGCCCACATGCTTACGTCGTCCTATTACGAAACCAGACAACGCTCGCAGTCGGCGTCCCTGTCAGTACTGGAATATATGACATCAATTTAAACAACCTCCAGTGCAACCATACGGATAGGTATGACGTCAGGGCGACCAGGTTCGTTACTCGGAATAGAAGTCCCGCCAACGCCTCGATAATGCAGTTTGGACTTCAAGTCAGTTGTAAGTATAGACTGTGTATCTCTAATGACAAAATGCTTACAATTCGCAAAATAGCGCTTAAATATTCTTTTACTTTTTTTCTTTTCTTGTCTCAGTTACCCTACCAGAAACAATTTGTTAAGAAAAATGAAAATATAGAACGTCTTCTTTTAACTTTTAATGTCATGTTCGAAATTCGCGCAACACCTTTATGTCGTACATTTTCACATGTTATATGTTGGAACTCTAAACGCCGGTGCAAACTTGGAATTTATAGTCTCGGTTATAACACATATTCGTTAATACTTACATATGCTTGAATCTATAAGGTACATCTATGTATGCCATTGTACATGTTTTTTTTTTTTGTAGGCACCCCACGAAGATATAATTCTACAAATAACATTATAAAAGTGACCGGGGAAATGGGTCAGTTGGTTGTACTCAAAGTAACTGTGATCGCTAACCCAAAGCCCATGACTATATGGTCTGACGGAGTAAGCGCACTTGTAATCCTACAAAACAGCGATTGTACGTATACTATCAGGGGGTTGATCAGGATCACGACGCAATCTGATTTCCAGATGTACTACCTGAATATCACGAATACTTTACCGAACGTATTAACTGTCCGCTTCCAGGTCGGCCCTGCAGGTAAATATATATGTTTCTTATTTTGATTGTAAACTATTTCTACTAACAGTATGTTAAGGGATTTGATTAGATAATCTATTTGTTTATAATCTGTATTGTTGATTGGAAAGGTAAACAATCTAAATCAGCTGACCTGGCTTATATTTTCACAACGATTATTGCAATGGAGCCACATCAGTTATAAACAAATATGTATTTTGATTTTGACATTAAAATACATTTCAAATTACTATAAGTTAAAAGGCTCGTCGTAATTACTATATTGATACATGATCCTAGACAAACTGTTGTGTCACAGCTGTCTCACTGTAAGTTAAAAGACTCGTCGTAATTACTATATTGATAAATGATCCTAGACAAACTGTTGTGTCACAGCTGTTTTACTGTAGGTTAAAAGCTGTCTTACTGTAAGTTAAAAGACTCGTCGTAATAACTATATTGATACATGATCCTAGACAAACTGTTGTGACACAGCTGTCTGCTGGTAATCAGTCCAAATGTGTCGTGTCTCTGCAAGTTTGCCTGGCTCTTGGTCAGTTTCTAATTGTCACAGGAGCCATTGTTTAAGTGTATCGACAACTCGACAAAACCAGGCAATTCGGTTGTCGCAACTGCGCAACATGTTCAAGATAACTGCTGAGACTGCATAACATACGATAAGCACTCGCAGTTAACCGATCAGTGTTCACACTAAAAGTATCATGAATTGATTGTGTGCTGAGAGAACTAGAACTACAGCGTGGGCCACTCATATCGTATCATTCCTGATACCATGTCAAAACAATTGTGTGTAGGTCCACAATGTGGGGCTTAATTGGAGGAAAATTAAGTATACAGTAGAAAAAATATGAACTATAGTTAGTATGCAAGTTATAAAATGGTATTTGTCGTACTGTGCAGCATTTAGTATTACTCACTTGGTGTGTACTTGCGTATGACCACATACATTTATATGTAGTCAATAACATTTGCCAGACATAAAATAAGGGGGGGGGGGGGGGGGGGGGGGCGGTAAGACGTTATATATAAAATCTGTAGGTGTAATGAAACAGAATAGTTTTCAATGTAGTGCCGTTTGCATCGATTCCTAAAATAATTGTCCCCTTTAAACATTATTTACATTACATGTTTATGGTATTGGTGTCTTTAACCTCCCTTTTTTTCTAGTTACTATGCCCGCTTTCCTTGATCTTAACTTAATATAGTCATGTTGGCTTAGAGCTGTGCTATACGAAGAGTGTAATGATTTTAATTCTTTGAATTCTGAATTTACACTTTAATTAATGTAACTGCCTGATACAGATGTATACTGATACAATATTGACAAGTTTCCTGATCGCTTATCGAGAAATATATCTTTGGTGTATTGTGAAGGTGATTGTTAACTAATAACAACCTACCTGAAAGCATATTGGCGGTACCAAACATAAACCACCTACCCGAGAGTGTAGTGACGTCAACAAACATAAACAACCTACCAGAGAGCAAAGTTTTGCCACCAAACAAAAACCATCTACTCGAAAGCGTGGTATCGGCACCAAACATAAACAAAAATATCTGAGGGTGTAATTAGGGCATCCGAGATAGACATCATAGCCGTCAGCGTAGTGACGGGCACCAAACATAAACAGCATACATGAGAGCGTAGTGACGGCACCAAACATAAATAGCCTACCTGAGAGCGTAATGCCGGCACCAAACATACACAGCCTACTTGAAAGCGTTGTGACGACACCAAACATAAACAGCCTACCTGAAAGCGTAGTGATGACAACAGACATAAACAGCCTACCTGAGAGCGTAATGACGGCACCAAACATACACAGCCTACTTGAAAGCGTTGTGACGGTACCAAACATAAACAGCCTACACATTTTCATCTGACAAAGGGCTAACCACCATCACATGTGGTTCTTACAGCCGGCATATATGAGATTCACAACCATCAAATGTTTGACATACAACCAACTGATATGGGAATTTTAACAATCATATGCGGAAGTTTCAACCTTCAATCAGGGCATAACATAGTATTTTTTAGAGTAAATAGTCATAAGATGATCAATTACAACGACCAGATATAGCTTAGACACATATTGATCAAGTATATTTTGACAAAAAAACGTGTATATACTTATCGTTTATCTAACTTCATTTCAAAGGCAGGCGTCAATGCCTTGTGTATTCCTGTGGATCCCTTGTTTAATATGTATTGAAAACAATGTTTGGATAAAAGGTGAAAAAATAGTTAATCGGAAAACTTTAAATTTAGATGCAAAATGGAATTGACCCTTATTGCAACATAAGTGTGTTTATATGAATTTACGTACTTGCTGCTCAAGGACCTGTCACACACTACCGATGTAGCTCCCCGGGACTAAACCTAAGCAAAAATATAACAACGGCGAGAAAATCGGCAGAGCCCCGGTGAGAAAGTACTTGAAAAAATAAAATGTACCGTAACAATACCGATGTAGTACCGGCGATTCCGTTGTGATACCGTTGTTATACCGATGTAGGAACCGATATGCTACCGAATACCACTTTTCTGTCACCTCAGTATTACAGATGAGCCATGGATGTTATACCGAGGCGCCGCCGTTGTTCTAACGATGTGCAAACGTTGACCGGGGCTTAAGGGGAGTGATACCGTTGCGCTGCCGATGTGACGGTAGTACATCGTAAAACTTCGGCGGTGCATAAGTACTATTTCGGTGGTAATCGGTAGTACTATGGTATCACATCGGTACCAGAACGGTACACATTGAGGCCACCGGAGAGCCGTCGATCAATTACGGGACGCTACCGGTGCTCTACCGACATAAACAAAGCCATACCGGTACTGACGATGTACTGCCGTGGTTGTCCAGTTGCTCGCTCCGGCAGCGCAACGCCGGGAAATTTTGAGTATGTTCAAAAATGTCTACTGTCGGCTGCCGTTTTTAAACTTTTCGCCGATGTTCTGACGGGGTCCTGACGATGTGCTACCGTTCTTAGCGATGTGTTACCTTTGCGCTACCGTACTCGTACCAATTCTCAAAAATCGCCAAAATTGTGCTCCGGTGTAGCTCCCACGACCATATTCGGTTAGGTGTGACAGGCCCTTCAGGACCGAGTTATATCTATGATAGAATGAAAGATATGGAAATCTAAGATCCATTAGCTAATTTGTGTTGTCGAAATCACACCTTTATGTATAACGTTTTCATCAGTGTTTTACATATTCGGTACGGAGCAAAGTTATGGTTTTCCCATTATGTTTATTTTATATACTTCAAAACAAAGTGGAAAATGTAGATATTTCCAGGAGTGCAGAGAATAAAAATATCAATATGAGTATGTCATGCTTCGGACCATATAATTCATATAATGTATATATTTGGCATCTCACAGAAACATCCATATTTTTCTTTTGATGTACCAAGAATAATAATGTAAATGTTACCAAAGCGAATTAATCTAATAACGTCATACTTGCTAGACAACTGACAAAGCTGCATGCTAGTTTTCAATAATTCTACTATTTAAGGCTATATTCTGGTATGATTTATTTACAAAAATGTAAAGATTTTGCATTTAGGTAAATATCTTTGTGTAAGTAAGGTACAGCAAACAACTATAAACAATGGCTGATTCATACGCATGAAAAGAAAATATGTTGCTTTTAATGCAGTGAATAGAAAAAAAAAGACTGATTGGTCAATATGCAATCTAACACCATCAGACTGTGATAGCTATCGCATTTATTACATGTCAGAGAGTGAGACGTATCAGTTTTGGTATTAACAAATCAGAACGAATCTTTTACCGAGCTTACCGAGTGTATTGTAAACAAATGCATGTCCCATGGATTCAAGATTCAGTGCAAAATGTTTAACTGAATATTTTCTACCAACCCAACAGCAATTGATATTTTGTCGTATATATTCGCATATATACTAGCGGAAAATAGAAACTGTGCATGCGGAGAATTTATATACATGAAAATTCACACACATGACCGAGTATGACACATACACACTATCCGTGTGTCATTGACAGTTTTTCCCGTGCAGTTTGCTCTCTATAGGCGTTGACCAGTTTGCATGTTTTGTTTTCGTCCAGCCATCCAATTCGACAATGAAAGTTTTATTTTCAACTGTTGGGTCACTCTGTTGAGATCAGTGAACAGTTAAAACAGCATTATAACGTTTTAATTTGTGATTAATGCTATGCCGAGGCTCAATGAAAATGACCGCCTCCGGATTATTGGTATGCTTCAAGCTGGTATGTTCCAAGCCGTTGTCTCTACACGTGTTCATGTCCATCGAAACACAATCCGGGATTTGTAGAGACGACATCAACAGTTTGGCCACGTCGGCGATCGACCTCGGGCGGGACGTCCACGTGTGACGTCCTGTCAACAGGACAACCATATTCGGCTTGTCCATTTGAGAAATCGCTTCCAAACGGCAAGTTTGACTGCACGGACAATCCCTGGGTTGCTACCAATAAGCCCGAGAACTGTACGGAACCGATTGCGTCAACGAGCTATCCGTCCGGGACGTCCTGCAATCCGCCCAGTTCTTCTGCCACGTCATCGTGTAGCACGTCTCGACTGGTGCAGAAGGCATCTGCAATTTACTCGACGGGATTGGTCAGACATTTCGTTTACGGACGAGTCGCGAGTCCACCTGGATAGTAGTGACGGCCGTTCCAGAGTGTATCTTCGCGCTGGAGAACGTTTCCGTGACGCGTGTGTGGTACAGCGACGTTCTTTCGGCGGAGGCAGCGTTATGATTTGGGGCGGCATCACAGTCAACGGGAGAACGCCTCTGGTGGTTGTTAACGGGAATTTGAACGCGCTACGTAACGTGACGAAATCCTCTGGACCCACGTCGTTCCATTTGTGCAAGGGCAGCAACGTCACATTACGCTACAGCAGAACAATGCCAGGCCACACACAGCTCGTGTCGCTATGGACTTTCTGGCCCAGCAGAACGTTGACGTGTTGCCCTGGCCTGCTGTATACCCCGATCTGTCGCCTATTGAACACATCTGGGATGAAATGAAGCGCAGATTACGGGCATTACCTAATCAACCGGTGACGTTGGCTGATTTGGCTGCAGCGTTGGTACAGATCTGGAATGCCATCCTAGAAGTATTTTGAACCGTCTGATAGGCTCCATGCGTCGACGTTGCCAGGCTTGCATTCAGGCAAACAATGTACATACGAGGTATCAACTTTGTGAACTCAGTTTTGACCCCTGCTGTGTTTACGTCACTACCGAGCGGAACTTATTGATTCAATAACGTGGAAAATGGAATGCAACTGTTAATAAATAACAATGAATTGTCCTTGTTGTTCTACGTCATACACATTTACTTTTATAACACATTTTAGGCATGCACAGTTTATTTTTTCCGCTAGTATATTTGTATTTCTGAAACAGAAAGTTCTTCTCTCTTTCCACAGTCGCACCCCGAATCACGGAACTGAGGTATCGGGACGGTGTTGATAACCAGTACATGCACATTGGCAGTAATGCAGTCAGATACACAGAAGGCTCCAGCTTGGAACTCCGTGTTGATGTTGACAGTAGCCCACTGGCTGACGTCACCCTATTACGAAACCAGACAACGCTCGCAGACGGTGTGTTTGTCAGTACTGGTAAATATGACATCAATTTAGACAACCTCCAGTGCAACCATACGGGAAGGTATGACGTCAGGGCGGCCAACTTCGTTACTCGGAATAAAAGTCCCGCCAACGCCTCGATAATGCAGTTTGGACTTCAAGTCAGTTGTAAGTATAGACTGTGTATCCCTTAGGACAAAATGCTAACAATTCGCAAAAAAAGCGTTTAAGAGAAATGAAAATATAGAACGTCTTCTTTTAACTTTTAGTTTCATGTTCGAAATTCGCGCAACACCTTTATGCCGTACATTTTCACATGGTATATGTATGTACATGTAGTTATGTTGGATATTGGAACTCTAAACGAGGGTGCAGACTTGGAATTGATAGTCTCGGTTCTAACACATATAACTTAATACTAACACATGCTTGAATATATTAAGTTATATCTATGTATGCCATTGTCCTTGTAGTTTTTTTTGTAGGCGCCCCACGAAGATATAATTCTACTAATAACATTATCAAAGTGACAGGGGAAAAGGGTCAGTTGGTCGTACTCAATGTAACTGTGATAGCTAACCCAATGCCCATGGCTCAATGGTCTGATGAAGTGAGAGGACTTGGTGTGGTACAAAACAACGCTAATATGTATACTATCACGGGGTTGGTCAGGATCACGACGCAATCTGATTTCCAGATGTACTACCTGAATGTGACTAATACTTTACCGGAAGTATTAACTGTCCTCTTCCAGATCAACTCTGAAGGTAAATACATATGTTTCTTATTTTGATTATTAACTATTTCTACTAACAGAATATAAAGGATTTTATTAGATAATCAATTTGTTCATAATCTGTATTGTTGATTGAAAAGCAAAACAATCAAAATTAGCTGATCTGGCTTATATTTTCACAACGATTATTGCAATGGAGCCACATCAGTCATAAACAAATATATATTTTGATTTTGACATTAAAATACATTTCAAATTACTATAAGTTAAAAGACTCGTCGTTATTACTATATTGATAAATGATCCTAGACAAACTGTTGTATCACAGCTGTCTGCTGTTATTCAGTAAAAATAAGTCGTATGCATGCACAATTGCCTGGCTCTTGGTCAGTTTCTAATTGTCACAGGAGCCATTGTTCATTGTGTCACAGCTGTTTTACTGTAGGTTAAAAGCTGTCTTATTGTAAGTTAAAAGACTCATCGTAATTGCTATATTGATAAATGATCCCAGACAAACTGTTGTGTCACAGCTGTCTCACTGTAAGTTAAAAGACTCATCGTAATAACTATATTGATAAATGATCCTAGACAAACTGTTGTGTCACAGCTGTTTTACTGTAAGTTAAAAGACTCGTCGTTATTACTATATTGATAAATGATCCTAGACAAACTGTTGTATCACAGCTGTCTACTGTTATTCAGTCCAAATAAGTCGTATGTATGCACAATTGCCTGGCTCTTGGTCAGTTTCTAATTGTCACAGGAGCCATTGTTCATTGTGTCACAGCTGTTTTACTGTAGGTTAAAAGCTGTCTTATTGTAAGTTAAAAGACTCATCGTAATTGCTATATTGATAAATGATCACAGACAAACTGTTGTGTCACAGCTGTCTCACTGTAAGTTAAAAGACTCATCGTTATTACTATATTGATAAATGATCCTAGACAAACTGTTGTATTACAGCTGTCTGCTGTTATTCAGTAAAAATAAGTCGTATGTATGCACAATTGCCTGGCTCTTGGTCAGTTTCTAATTGTCACAGGAGCCATTGTTCATTGTGTCACAGCTGTTTTACTGTAGGTTAAAAGCTGTCTTATTGTAAGTTAAAAGACTCGTCGTTATTACTATATTGATAAATGATCCTAGACAAACTGTTGTGTCACAGCTGTCTCACTGTAAGTTAAAAGACTCATCGTAATAACTATATTGATAAATGATCCTAGACAAACTGTTGTGTCACAGCTGTTTTACTGTAAGTTAAAAGACTCGTCGTTATTACTATATTGATAAATGATCCTAGACAAACTGTTGTGTCACAGCTGTCTCACTGTAAGTTAAAAGACTCATCGTAATAACTATATTGATAAATGATCCTAGACAAACTGTTGTGTCACAGCTGTTTTACTGTAAGTTAAAAGACTCGTCGTTATTACTATATTGATAAATGATCCTAGACAAACTGTTGTGTCACAGCTGTTTTACTGTAGGTTAAAAGCTGTCTTACTGTAAGTTAAAAGACTCATCGTGATTTCTATATTGATACATGATACCAGACAAACTGTTGTGTCACAGCTGTCTGCTGTTATTCAGTCCAAATAAGTCGTATCTATGCACATTTGCCAGGCTCTTGGTCAGTTTCTAATTGTCACAGGAGCCATTGTTCACATGTATCGACAACTTGACATAACCAGGGAATTCGGTTGTCGTGTCTGCGCAACAGATTCAAGATAGCTGCTGAGACTACATAACATACGATAAGCACCTGCAGTTAACCCATTAGTGTTCAGACTATAAGTATCATGAATTGATTGTGGGCTGAGAGAACTAGAACTACAGCGTGCCCACTGCTATCGTATCATTCCTGACACCATGTCAAAACAAATGTATCTAGGTCCACATTGTGTTGCTTAAGTGGAGGAAAATAAAGTAGACAGTAACACAAATATGAACTATAGTTATTATGCAAGTTATACACCGGTATTTGTCGTACTGTGCAGTATTTAGTATTACTCACTTGGTGTGTACTTGCGTATGACCACATCAATGTATGTGTAGTTTAATAACATTTGCCAGACTTAAATAGGGGGGGGGGGGGGGGGGTTGATACGTTATATATAGAATATGTAGGTGTAATGAAACGGACTAGTTTTCAATGTAGTGCCGTTTGCATCGATTCCTAAAATAAATGTCCCCTTTAAACATTATTTGCATTACATGTTTATGGTATTTGTGTCTTCATCCTCCTTTTTTTTAGTTACGATGCCCGCTTTCCTTGATCTTAACTCACTAAAGTCATGACGGCTTAGAGCTGTGATATAGGAAGAGTGTAATAATTTTAATTCTTCGATTCTGAATTTACACTTTTATTAATGTAACTGCCTGCTACAGATGTATACTGATACAATATTGACAAGTTTCGTGATCGCTTATTGAGAAATATATCTTTGGTGTACTGTGAAGGTGATTGTTAACTAAAAACAACCTACCTGAAAGCATATTGGCGGTACCAAACATAAACCACCTACCCGAGAGTGTAGTGTCGTCAACAAACATAAACAACCTACCCGAGAGTGTAGTGACGTCAACAAACATTAACAACCTACCCGAGAGTGTAGTTATGGCACCAAACAAAAACCATCTACCCGAAAGCGTAGTATCGGCACCAAATATAAACAAAAATATTCGAGGGTGTAATTACGGCATCCAAGATAGACATCATAGCCGTCAACGTAGTGACGGGCACCAAACATAAACAGCATACATGAAAGCGTAGTGACGACACCAAACATAAACATCCTATACAAGGGCGTAGTGTTGGCACCAAACATAAACAGCCTACCTGAGAGCGTAGTGACGGCAAAAAAACATAAAAAGCCTACCTGAGAGCGTAGTGACAACACCAAACATAAACAGCCTACTTGAGAGCGTAGTGTCGGCACAAAACATAAATAGCCTTCACGAGAGCGTAGTGACGGGCACCAAACATAAACAGCCTACCTAAAAGCGTAGTGACGGCACCAAACATGAACAGCCTATACAGGAGCGTAGTGACGGCACCAAACATAAACAGCCTACCTAAAAGCGTAGGGACGGCACCAAACATGAACAGCCTATACAGAGCGTAGTGGCGGCACCAAACATAAACAGTCTACCTGAGAGCGTAGTGGCGGTACCAAACATAAACAGCCTGCCTGAGAGCGTAGTGGCGGCACCAAACATAAAAAGTCTACCTGAGAGCGTAGTGTCGGCACAAAACATAAACATAAACTTCATCAGAGCGTAGTAACGGCAACAAACATAAACAAACAGCCCACCTGAAAGCGTAATGAAGGCACCAACCATAAACAGCCTACCTAAAAGCGTAGTGACGGCACCAAACATAACAGCCTACCTGAGAGCGTAGTGATCACAACAGACATAAACAGCCTACCTGAGAGCGTAGTGTCGGCACAAAACATAAACATAAACTTCATCAGAGCGTAGTGACGGCAACAAACATAAACAAACAGCCTACCTGAAAGCGTAATGAAGGCACCAAACATAAACAGCCTACCTGGGAGCGTAGTGACGGCACCAAACATAATCAGCCTACCTTAGAGCGTAGTGACAGCATCAGACATAAACAGCCTACCTTGGAGCGTAGTGTCGGCACCAAACATAAACAGCCTTCAACAGAGCGTAGTGACGGCAAAAAACATAAACACCCTACCTAAGAGCGTAGTGACGACACCAAACATAAACAGCCTACCTGAGAGCGGAGTGACGGCACAAAACATAAACAGTCTTCCTAAGAGCGGAGCGAGGGCACCAAACATAAACAGCCTACCGGAGAGAGTAGTGGCGGCACCAAACATAAACAGCCTTCAACAGAGCGTAGTGACGGCAAAAAACATAAACCCCCTCCCTAAGAGCGTAGTGACGACACCAAACAAAAACAGAATACCTGAGAGCGAAGTGACGGCACCAAACATAAACAGCCTACCGGAGAGAGTAGTGGCGGCACCAAACATAAACAGCCTACCGGAGAGAGAAGTGGCGGCACGAAACATAAACAGCCTACCTGAGAGCGTAGTGACGGCACAAAACATAAACAGTCTTCATAAGAGCGTAGTGACGGCACCAAACATAAACAGCCTACTAGAGAGTGTAGTGTCGGCACCAAACATAAACAGCCTACATGACAGGGTAGTGTCGGCACCAAACATAAACAGCCTTCGCGAGAGCGTAGTGAGGGCAAAAAACATAAACAGCCTACCTGAGAGCGTAGTGACGGCACCAAACATAAACAGCCTACCTGAGAGGGTAGTGTCGGCACCAAACATAAACAGCCTACCTGAGAGGGTAGTGTCGGCACCAAACATAAACAGCCTACCTGAGAGCGTAGTGTCGGCACCAAACATAAACAGCCTACCTGAGAGCGTAGTGTCGGCACCAAACATAAACAGCCTACCTGAGAGCGTAGTGTCGGCACCAAACATAAACAGCCTACCTGAGAGGGTAGTGTCGGCACCAAACATAAACAGCCTACCTGAGAGCGTAGTGTCGGCACCAAACATAAACAGCCTACCTGAGAGGGTAGTGTCGGCACCAAACATAAACAGCCTACCTGAGAGCGTAGTGTCGGCACCAAACATAAACAGCCTACCTGAGAGGGTAGTGTCGGCACCAAACATAAACAGCCTACCTGAGAGCGTAGTGTCGGCACCAAACATAAACAGCCTACCTGAGAGGGTAGTGTCGGCACCAAACATAAACAGCCTACCTGAGAGCGTAGTGTCGGCACCAAACATAAACAGCCTACCTGAGAGGGTAGTGTCGGCACCAAACATAAACAGCCTACCTGAGAGCGTAGTGTCGGCACCAAACATAAACAGCCTACCTGAGAGGGTAGTGTCGGCACCAAACATAAACAGCCTACCTGAGAGCGTAGTGTCGGCACCAAACATAAACAGCCTACCTGAGAGGGTAGTGTCGGCACCAAACATAAACAGCCTACCTGAGAGCGTAGTGTCGGCACCAAACATAAACAGC